TTGTTTTTTAATTAAAAAAAGATTTTTCTTAATTAGATTCGTGACTTAATTCGTCCAGAAAATCCAGATAATTTACAAGTACGTGGTTCAATTCAAGATGGATTTTATGTTGAAAATCTTTATCAAACATATATTGAGACAATCGATGAATTATTAACTATACTTGAAGAAGGTTTGAATGAATACGTAATCAAAAAAAAAACGATATTTCATAGATTATTTACTATTAATATAGGTGAATTAAATCGAGCTATGGCTTCACATCATCTTAATGATACGTCCAGTCGTAGTCATGCTATGCTTTCAATACAAATTGAACAAGATTTACAAGATTATGATGATTCACAACAACAAATAACACGACAAGGAAAATTAACTTTTGTTGATTTAGCTGGTAAATATCATTTATTTTATTTTAAATTATCTGTAAATAATTTATGTACAAAAAATAACCTATAACAAGCAGTTTAAATCCTTACTATCTTGTATTATTTCATAGAAGAGGTGTAATAGTTCAAATTTATAAACTGATGGAAGTCCTCTCAAAGAATTTTCCGCATCGGGTTCAAGTTCCTATCAAATGAGTTGTTCATCGACTCAGGACTCTTCATAAGAACTATCATGACATCGTATTTTTGTCAGACGTTCATCAGACAGTAGTAACGCTAAGGTATAAATTTTCTCATACATAATCACTAGGTGATATTTTATAAACGAATTTGAGATTATCAGCAGCAACTCATCAGTTGTAGGAATTGTCTTAAAGAGCTAGTAACCAGTTCCAGCTTGTTTCAAAAGTACAAGTCGACCAACTCGTTTCGAACCAATTGCAACTGTCGACTAGCTAGGTTCGCAACAAATCGAAAATAAATTTAGGTTTCGATTTGTGTTTGAATTTGAATAAATCTGCTGAAATAGTTCAAAGTTTTGTAATTATTCTTTTGAATGGAACTGAACTGTCTCAAGAATTTTCATTCCTACCAACAGAACAAACTTGTTCTGTTTCTGGAAATATTAATTCCAAAATTTCTCCACCTCCTCTTACTAAATCCAAATTTAATTTCGAGTCCAAGACACCAAAGCTTCGAGTTTGTTATACCCTTACAACCAGACTCATTTGAGACAAGTTGATATAGAACTGTTACATCTGGGAAGGTGCAGGTTCAGGTTTTTGTGAACGCAGATCCGGCCGAGTTCAAAGCCCAAATGTTTTTCGTCAATACCTGGCACCCTTCGTGTACATGAAAAATGACGGATCAAGGTTTCAGCTATTGATTCGCTTCTCTCAGAAAAAAACTAAACGTACATTTATATCTTGTTGCTATATTTCTCATCCGGGAAGCAGCGACTCCACAAAAACGTGTAACCGAGCCCAAGAAAAAAATAAAAGCTTGTACCCGAACTCGGCCAGGTTCAGATCTGGAAGGACCCGCAGCTCTCTAGTTATACCTCTACTTTTATATACATGATGAAATTAGATTTAAACATGTACCCTACTATGTACACTTGTCTTCAAACAATTGAACATTTTTATAACTTTGTCATTTTTCTTCCAGGTAGTGAAAAAGTGAAAGTAAGTCATTCAAAAGGTAAACAATTAGTCGAAACGAATAATATCAATAAAAGTTTACTTACACTTGGTAACTAAAACAAGGAATATTTTATATTCTATTTAAAAATTATTTTGCTAGGTACATGTATTTCGGCATTAAGTGATCCTAACAAGCTTAATGGTCATGTACCTTATCGTGAATCAAAATTAACTCGACTTTTAGCAGACAGTTTAGGTGGACATGGTGTAACATTAATGGTATATTTAATTATCAATAAAATTATAAAGTTAATTTATTTTTTTTTTTTTTTTTTTAGATAGCTTGTATTTCACCATCAAGTTTATGTGAAAATGAAAGTTTAAGTACATTACGTTATGCAAATCGTGCAAAAAATATTGAAAATGCTCCATTAGTAAAAACAGATTCAAAAGAAAATGTTATTAATCGTTTAAAACTTGAAGTTCGTAAATTAAAAGATGAAAATTATGAATTAAAACAAAAATTAGGCGTACAAACAAATTATAGTTTACCTAGAATTAAAAATCGAAATCATGATTTAGGTAAAAATGAAAAAAAAACTCGAACTAATTAATTGATAATAATTCATATAAAATTTAGGTTCACAAGCATCTATACATTCATCAGGAAGTAGTGATGTATATGAACGACAAGATACTCAGTAAATATTTTTCATTTTTTTTTTTTTTTGTATTATAAAACATTTTTTTATCGTTTGATTAGTGGTCGATTGAATGGTATGACCACACAAAAAATTCGAAGTCATCATGAAATTTTAACACGTGAAAATGAAAAACTTGCACGACAATTACATCAACGTGATAAACAACAACAAGGTCAATCAAATGGTAAACGTGTTATTGTTGTTGAAGATGATCATCCAGTTCAACAAGTAAAATCTTTTTCATATTTATCAATCTTGATTCTTGTTTTTTTCATTAGTTAAGTTCACCAAATAATCGTCGTATTATTAGAACTTATAAAAATGAACCTGAGGATGAAATGTTCGTATTAATAGATTTATATTAAATATATATATATATATATTGAATAAGTTTCATAATATAGATTGGAACTTGTACGTCGTCCATCATATACAACAAGATATCGAACTGTTCGTAATAGATATCCAGATGAAGGTTCACCTCGACGACGTACAACAACTATTGTACGACGAGCACCAGAAACAATAATATCTCAAGGTAATCATACAATATGATTAAAAAAAAAAATTCTAATTCAAAAATAAAATAAATTAACATATGTCAAGTTTGTATAGAATTTCTTGTAAATTTCAAAAATTTATGAGAATTATAATGTAGATAAATGTCTATCTTCGAATTAGATAATGATCGAGTATCATTCTTGTACTAATCGTTTGTTATCTTATACTAATAGAACGGAGTCAATGATTACAAATTTAAAATCTTGACTGTAACTCTAAGTTATTTTACTATTCAAGAGAAAGTGACATTGACTATGATACAATTGTAATCCTCATTAAAAAAACTCATCGAGTCTAATGAGGAAATGTTCTCAATTGTCGGAGGCTTTGCTTATATGTAAGACTCGATACATTTAATGAAAGTCCAAAATGATTTGCTTCTATTATTCATTCTTCTGAAATTATATTTCGTGAATTATCGATTTCAAATAAGTTTGACGTATAATTTTGTCTATGAATAGGCCTCATCATTATTAGATTGTTCAGAAAGTTTCAATTTGAATGTACAATTCTTTTTCGAGATATTGAATAATCCAAAAACTTTCATTTCCCCTTGACAAAGATTAGAATAATATCTCAAGAAAGAAATCATACTTTTCAATTGGACCGCTAGAGATGCTTCGTTATGAATTTAATATCTAAATTTACAAATCTCTTCTGTATTTTAGATCGACGATAATTCGCGTAACTGACAAAATCAATAGAAAGACACATACGAAGAGTGTCAGTCAATTTTTCAATTATGCACATGATGTATACATAAATTATTCTCGAACAAATCATGTGCTATCCATTTTATCTGTTTCTCTTTTTATTTTTTTTTTGCTCTTTTTACATATCTGTTTCAAAGAATAAATTAAAATTTCCTTAATATCTCCATTTATCAAACTGAAATGAGATATGATTTTCAACAGGTGAAGAAGTTAATTCTTTTGTGTGTGTGTGTTTGTACAATTAAATACAATTCTAAATTAGATTAATGAATATCGTCGCGTCATATCTGCATGGGTTTTTTTTTAGTTTTCTCATCAACTAAACGATAAATGTTTGCCCTTTTAACAAACATTAGACAACAACTGATAGATCACTATATCGAAGATTAATGACTTTGATTTCACACTTATCAATGAAAATTTATATTCACCTGTTTACTACGGATCATATTCCACAGACACAATCACCATAGACTACTGTCAATCATATAACTTGAAAGAATCTTATCAGACAAAAAAAAGAAATAACATAGAAAATATTTTGTTTTGTGACATTTCTTGAATAATGATTACGAAACATTATGCATGTGTTGAAATTTTAGAAAGATATTTTACATCAAAATATATATGAATAAATTGCAATATTGATATTTTGGAGTATCTACACTTTAACTTTCATTCTGATCAAACGATTATAAAGTGATTTGTTTTTTAATTCTATTCTCTTCGTAGTCCTCCACACCAAATTTCATGTGCCTATCGGGTGTCTCATTCCTAAATGACAGGACTGGCAGTTAGAAAAAAAAATGGCATTTTTTAAACGAGACGCTTGTCTGAGAAAAGATAATGTAAGTAGGTCATTTTATAGCTTGGATATGACTGTATCGAAACATGTGGTTCACTAGTCTTTATTTCTATATTAGAGAAAAAACAATTGAAGTACTCAAAAAATAGTATATATTCATTCCCATTGTACAATGACATTTTGAAACGTGTTTGATCTATAACATACGACTGATTGTTCTAATTTCATTCAAACTTGAAGATTAAATAGAACTCAAAAAAGTTATATGACCGATAACAATTTCAATCTTCTATAGTTTCTACTATTCCGAATATATTCAAATTATTCCACAAAATGTATAGTGACGCTCTTATTTGCAGCTATTTTCAGTTAAATCTACACAAACCACACTGTGTATCTTGCTTAAGATTCAGTGAAGTATTGAGAAACTTTTGCTGTATAACATAGGCATAAAATATAGAAATTTTTCATTTTTTCCTATCATTTGTACTAAAAAGCTACAATTTACTCATATATACAGACATAGATGTCCGCTAGCTAGAACACAAGATAAAATCATAAATATTTTCGTCATTCGACTACTTATTATTATTATATTTTTGCTAAAGAAGAAAACACACATACACAAAAAATTTGTCAAAAGAAAAGAAAACAATGAAGATAAACTGTCTTTTGTCTCTTTTTTTTTACGAAGTTTGTGGTGTCAATGGTAAACCATAAGACGATGAATAATATGGTGTTGCAACAGCAAAATTACTTGTTTGTGTATAAGGAAAAGGATTAAAAATTGATGCATAATTTGTTGTATTATTAATAGATGTATTTTGTTGATGATAAGGATGATGATAATTTTGTTGATAATAATAAGGTGTATGTGAAAATGGACTTTCTGAATTTGATACAATAGAATTTCCTCCTGTATATGGTGATTTCATAGCTGATTCAAATTGTTGTTGAAATGTTACAGTTGGATAAAGATAACGATGATGATTATGATGATGATATGATGTTGATGATTGATCATAAGGTAACCATGTTGGTGGTTCAATTTTACATATTGATGCAGATGATGACAATGTTGATGGTGTATTAACGGGTGAAAGATCATGTTTTGTTATTGATATTGTAGATGACGGCATTGTAGTCGATACAAATGATGATGATGTTGATGAAACAGGTGGAGAAGAATTTGAATCACTATGTTCACTATTCCCTTCTCCTATACCATGACATGGTTGTGATAATGGACCAATTTTATTACGTAAAATACGTGAAATTGATGATACTGATGGTACATTAAATTTATCGCATACATTATCTAATAATAATTTTTCACGTATTTCCCATGCAAACATACCAGGATCTTTAACTTTATAATCACGTATACGACCAACAACACGTGGTGTTGTTACACGTGGTTTACTACCACCAATAGCACCTGGTAATACAGAACCTCCAACAAAAACAAAAATAAAAAAAAAAACAACAAGATCAAAAAAAACAAAACTATATGATTCATTCCAAAAACAAAAATAACTTACCTGTTTCATGATAACGAGCAAGAATTTTACTAACACATCCATGTGAAACTTTTAAACGACGACTAATATCACATGGACGTGTTCCTGAATTAGCCATTTGAACAATTTGTAAACGTATTGGAGTTGGTAATGGTCGTCCATTGACAAAAACACCACCAAGTTGATTAACTTCTCCATAACTTTGACTTAAACTGTTATCATTAAATGAATAATCAGCTAAAAACAAAATTAAACATTAATCTATATAACATCTTTCGATAATACGTAGTTTCTATTTTCATTCTGCTAAATAAATGTATCTAATAAATCGAAGATGATTATGATCATTTAGCAAGATTGTGTGTATATGAAATTTGATCATCTATCATCTTTTTCTCGCCTGGTGTGAGTTGATGACACTATTTTCTTCGGATCATATTTGGATTGGTTCAATAGAAAAAGAAGAGGAAAAAAAAAAGACGATTATTTTGATCGATAGGGCAATATTTGTTTAGATGAGTAGATGATATTTACAATTCAAATATTCTATTTGGATTTTTTTTTGTATAACAAAAACAACAAGAATACAATAACTCAATGGCGCAGGGCAATCATGTCAATTTTATTTTTTTGAGCGTTTTCTACTAAGAAAAATCCATAATGATATGTTACCTCATCGAGACAAGACAAAAGTTGGTTTCAAATAGGATTCTTTTTTTCATCATGCAACTCGACTATTAACTTGTATTATATTCGAAAAAAAAATTATTTCCCTGTTTGTTTCTTTTTCTTTTTTTGTTCTCTCAATGGACATTTGCAAAAAGTAAGCATAGGAGTAAATGTTCCTAGTGTCATTGAGATAAAACAGACATATGAAAAAAAAAGCAGCGATGAAATCTGTATTTTTTTTTGCTATCTCACATATACAATTGTCATTCATCTATAGACAATTTACATACCCATTGCAATTGTTGTAAGTTGTCGGATAGTTGATAGAGAAGGTAGATTGATCTACTTTGGCTATGCTCGATGTCCCGTGTTTGTACGTTAATTCACGGTTCGATTCGGTATTTCCGTTGCACTCGGCTTCACTCGAATTCACCTTAGGGTTGCTTGTTTTCAATTATACTTACTGCGTAGCTTTTTTTTCTTCTTTATCACTTGATCTATCATCTATCTCTATCTCTCTCTCTCTTCATCGCCTATTTTCTTCGGTTTGTACTAACATTTATTTCTCTTCTTCTTTTTCTTTTTTTCTCTTCGTTCTATGACTTCTGCCGACGATTGACTAGCAAATATTTAGAGTTTTAGTTCTCTTCTTTTGAAGAGAAAGAAGTAATCAATTCTCTCTCTCTCTCTCTCTTTTGTCGTCTGGGGTTCCTTTTTGTATACGATGCACGAGCTGCTTATCGTATCATGATGTATTCGAGAGAGAAAAAGTCGAAGAAAGATGAGCCGAGTGGTAATGATATATATCTCAACCAATAAACATGCAGATAAGAAGGGAAAAATAGACCAATGAATAAATACAATATATATATATATATATGTATAAGAAGATAATCAATTGATTTATTAATATTTCAGTTTTCTTAGATTTTGTAAGTCGATTAGGGAACTATTCTTTCTTGGTTTATGAAGTTATTTAGTCATTTTATCAAATGATCTCCTCGTTTAACATAAAGTAAATTTTATATTTTAGAATTTCCAAAAAAACACAATATTAAGTATGATAGATTCTTTTTCAAATTAATTTAAACTTTGATTGTTGTAAATACTGACATAATTAAGAGTGAGCTAGGCTGGACGTAGCTCTATTACTAGAAAAAACACGATTTTCTTGTTACACTACTAATTCTAAACTTCTTTTTATACGTATATTTCTATGTACAACAAAAAAAGACTGTATGATATACTGAAGACGATCAAATATCATTTACTGAGTACCCATACGGTGCTCTATAATAGAGAAAGCAAATTAACTCGATGACATTTGAAGAGACACATCGTATTCACAATAACATTATTTTCTCTTTCTCTCTTCGTCTTTTCCTATAGTCATTGTTGATATTTAAGTATGGTGTCAGACAAGCGAAACGCTGTTATATTTGCTTGCCAATCACGCGTATATCACTTCATTAGACAATTTTTCGAAAAAGTCAGATGGATATATGTGATACTCTTCAAAAACAATCTTTTTTTTTTCCTTTTTCTTTTACTTCTCTTTCTCACTCTCTTTCGATTTTATTATTAAGCTTTTGATGTCGACAATTGAGCAAGCAAGTATTTATAATATATTCTCGTCGAATAGAATGTCAAAATAACACTTGTTCTCTTTTCGTCTCAAGATAAATGTGTTGTGAAGAAGACACGTGTTGAAAACATCAATGTATCAATTCGTTATTGATTAATAAATGAAAGATGAGCTGCTTTCATTTTACTTTTCTTTGGTTTAATGCCGACACTGTTACGAAATTTAAGTCGGCACAACGGCTAAATATTTAGAAAACAAAAAAAAAAATATTCCTATATAATGATTATTTGATTGACGAGAGAGATTTTCAATGAATGTGAATACAATCAGATGTTCATATATATATATTTATTTTTAAAATAAATTGATGATTAAATGCGGGAAAGAAAAAAAAAAATGTATAAAACAATAAAATTTGGCATATAAACAACTATGAAAATAATAGTGTGAAATAAATAGATACATATCTCATTATCATTTTGCAACTGACTCATTACCTTCTATCAATTGTGAATAACACTAATGATTTGTTCGTCCTGATAAACACAAACATGATTTGTCGGCATGATTATATAGGCGGCAAAAATCTTTTCAATTTCATTCAATTTAATAATATTGATATCGAGATATAATGATCTAGTAATTTGTATTGTTTTCTATATCCAATTATATTTAAGAGAATACAAATCATTATTCCGTTCTGGGTCAAATACATATAATCTATAACCCTTGGGTTAGTAGTTTTAGAAGAAATTGAGATTATCTTGAGGCAAATGATGAAAGAACGATGCGACTATGATCATATTGTCTGTTGTCTAGTTATCATGTATAAATACTTGGATTGATTTTTTTTACTTGTATGTGTCAAATGAGCCATTTGACAATAAACATCCGCAAAGGATGATAAATATATATATATTCGAATCTTTGTTTGTAATAATTAATAGATAGGTAGTATTGCTGTATATGATTATGAATATGTATGTGTGTGTACAACTCGATTAGCAAGATGAATGGGCAATAATCATGTTAAATCGGATAAACAAATGGAACGGAAGAATTCAATGGAAAAAAAAGTAACCGGTGCAGCTGAGTGGCATGATATTGAAGATAATAATACTTTAGAAAATAAAGAAATAATTTTTATTAAATCGAATTTTTCTTTTGTGCTAATTGTACACGTGTATTTTTAGTTTTTAATAATGTTTGATATTTAATTCTTTGATTTTCATATTTAGTAAAGTCACCATTTTGTATAGGTTTATAAAAACGTCTGTCAGTTTGATCGATGTTCAAAAGACGATGAGAACTAAACCAACCAATTTCTTGTGTAGTTGTTTGTGGAAAATTATAAAGTTTATTTGGAGGCATAGATGCACGTTGAATAATTGAATGAAGACGTTCATCATCTTTAAATATATATTCATCCGGTTCATATTCATTTACTTTTGGTGTATAGAAATATTGCTTAAGATGATACTAATAAGACACATAATGATAAATTTTGTTTATACGGGAAAAAAAAAAGAAATTTTTATACAGGATTGATAACAAAATTAGTGAAGATACGACGTGGACATTGAATTTCACGTCGAAATATGTCATGTTGCATTGATGATTGTATTAGATTGTTTGATTTCTTGGTTGTATTTCGTTGAATAGATTTATTCGGTATTTTTCTATTTGTTTTCAATTGATTTTTAGTAAGAGAATTCATCATAGAATTTTGTTATAGAATCAATATTCTAAAACAAGTGCGCACTTTTCTTAATGAAATATATTGTGATTATTTGCAATTGTTTGATACTTTGATGTAAAAAAAAATGCTTCTTATTTATTCTCAAGAATAGATCCATAATCACAATTTGAAACGCTTAATATAGTTAAGAAAAAAAGTGATGCCAATCCGGAAATCGACCATGTCGACTACGATGAAGTTTTAGATATTGAATTTGACTCTTTTATTCGGAAGTCTACAAAAAGTTCTTATAGAAATTCACACATCAGCTCATTTTGATTTACTCATTAAATTTACAATTTTCTCCTCTGTCGCTTGATTGCCAGAAAAGTTAAAAACAAGTTTTCTTCACAAAAGATTGAAGACGGTATTGATTCATTCTCTTCAGCAATATAGCATTACTGAATTGTTTCACAAAGAATTCAAGAATGCAATCATTTAGATAGTTTGAAATTTTACAATTCCAAAAAATAATATAAAGACTAATAGTTCGTATTATATTGGATGAATCATTGAGTTAGCCAGCATTAAGCACTTCTTGCTCAACAATTGAAGATATTATTAGATTTTAACATTTCTAATGTCAAATTCTAAAACAGAATTCTGATTTTTTTTCAATGGACATTGCATTACTATAATAAATGAAAAATTGTTATTCTAACTTCCACATAGTGACAAAGGAATAGTATTAATTCAGAAATCATTCTTTCAATGAAAACAAGTCTTTCACATAATAAAAAATGCAACATTGATAGAAAGAAATAAACCATACATATTGTACTTTGATAAAGTAACATGAGACTAGGTTTTAAAATCAATCGTTTAATGTTCCTCGAACTTTATGTTAGTCGTTAACAGCAACAATCAATGAATCGTAAAAAAAGAATACTGTTTCTATTTTATATCATTTATATTTACGAATGACATGTCGTTCAATTAGTTTATTAGATGAATCAACTATTCTATTTAGCTGAAAATAAATATGTAAATTTCCTTAAATAAAAGAAAAAAAAAATGATACTTTATTTGATGAGTGTGCTATTACTAAACATAAATATTAAATGGAAAAAGAGATTTGATTTATGTTTGTCAGAAGAAAAAGGAATATTTGACTAAATATGAAAATCAATGAATTGATTTTAATTGACGGTGAGGCAAAAATTCTGCATTAATTTTGTTTTCAGTATGAGTGAGTGAAGAAAAGATCGAGACTTCACATTTACTCAGAGATATAGCAGTGCAGAACTTGATGCGAATGGATTTCGGGCTTTCTTCTGGAAAATTTTTTGATTTTTTTCCCAATAAAATAACAAAGAATATATCTCGAAACGTGTGCTTCTTTCCATTCTTCGGTGTAAATCGATTTGACGGTTTAATCGTTTGAGAAAGAAAATACACTAATATCAAAGTCGAATAAGGATCTCAATAGCTCTAACGTGAATGAGTCTCATGCTAACGACTATTGATCAAAGATATGATTTTCAGAAAGTATAATGAATCCATTTTCGTCAGAATAAAGTTCGAAGTCTATAAACACTGATTATACTTGTGTACCTAATGTTACTTCATCATGTAACTATTTTTTGTTGCTTGACTCAAAACTTCCTAAAAAATGAAAAGGCCATTGAATACAAGGTACAATATGACTTAGGAATTTTTCTTGCCAAAGACATCCGCACCCAAGACAACTACTCAAGAACGAAATTATAGAATATTTCTAAAACTGAACATGATGAACTTTTTAACTTGACTATAATTGTATGATTGTCACTCATATTTGTTTGGAAAAAAATGAGTGAATATCTGCCGTATATTTAGCTTTTAACTGGTACAAATAACAAATATTTCAATTATTGGAGTACTATTAGACGTTCTGTAGCTGTAATCGAGTCACTGCTGTCCTGAATAATTATCGTCTCTTCTACAGTAATTCTCTTTTTTAATACTCTTGTCGGCAATATATAGATTTGCAACTGTATCGATGTTAGTAATTCAGGTCGAAAATAATTCATTAATTTATTTTTAAACAAGATGGACTATCCTAAATGCATGATTATATAAGTTGAATATTGTAAATAGACAAACCGCAGTCAAATAGTTCTTATTATCATATAGAATGATAAAAAATATTAAATTTTTGATGTCAATCAATAATAAAATAGAATACGTTGCTTAATGATTCTATCGAATGAAGAACATGATGATAGTAATCTTTATTAGACGTTCATATTAATATGATTATAGAAATAAGTAAAACTTGAATACCTCCAAACAACAAACAACCAATATCGTTTATAGATAACTTTTTTAAATGAAATTAACAACTATTATCATCATCAAACTAGAAAAGAACATTTGAGATTTCAGATAATTAATTTATTTTTGATCTTCAAATGATAAGACGGAACAAATCAAGTTATTGATTAACTGTTTCAAAATTTATTTTACGAAAACTTTAGTTATCGGCACATTACTCTAATTACAGTAGTGCTCAAAGTTATAGTTATTAGGTCCTAACACTTTTGAACATTATAAAGAGTTGTGCATTTTTTACAACCTTCTCTTGCAAAGTTACAAACATCACAAACTACATTTATCTTTTGTGAAACTGATATTTTTGTAAGAGAAGGTCGTAAAGAATGCAGTGATCTCTTATATCGTTCAAATTTTTATGCTCTCCCAGATGATACTGTTAAAAGCGAATTCTCACAACATATTTTGGGATCTAAAAACTACCGTATTCACATTTAAGAATGTGGATGTGAGAAAATAAAAGATTCACATCCTCGTCGACATCCAAAAATCAAAAAGATCTTGTTTCTTTAACATATTTATTAATTCTTTTTTTTTTTATTTATAAATACCAAATTGGTATTATCGATGAGTAACAAAAATGTTTTTTTTTTCAACGATGATTTATAGTTTGAATCATCTGTAATTGTTCTTCTCGATTTTTTTCCAATGTATCTCGCATTTCTTTTGTAATATCACGTACAAGATGATGAGCTAATGAAATACAATTTTCTATCTAAAATCAATAAAAACAAAAAATATATATATATTGAAAAAAAAATATCATAAACAAACCTGATCACGAGTCAAACAGATTTCTCCAAACATTGCTAATGTACTTAATTCTTTATGTTGATTCATACCAATAGCAAATAAACCTTCCATGACTTTTTCTTCACCTTCACATGCATCAATTAACATGTATTCTCTTAAATTTAAAATTTCAAAATAAATACTTTTGTTTTCTTTTTTTAACGACTGAAGACAAACCCATTTTCAAATAGAGCAAAACTTATCATAATTGGATAATGAAGAATACGAATAGGTTGTGGATTTCGTTCATTAATTGGATGCTAAATAAAAAAAAAATCAAATTTAAACAAAATTTTAAGTTTAATAGAAAATCTTTACCACATGTACATCTGTTCCAGTGACTGTTACTGCTGGATATCTAAAATGAAAAAAGACATTTTTTTTTTCTAAAGATGACACATTAAAAATCTCACCGAAAATGAGCAAGAGCACATAGTGCAGCTAAATTAGCACAATCAAGAATATTTCCATCATAATCAAGTACATGCAAATTTACACTAATTTCCCAAACCTTCAAAAACAAAAAAAAAAACAAGCCAACAAATGGCTATAGAAAATATTTAAAATTTCTATTCTAACGTTTTCATAAGCAAGAATACATAATGATTCCATATCAACACAACCTGAATCACGAATATTTTGTAACAAATGTCGACTCATAAGTGTTGTCCATTGTGTTTGTCTATAAAATATGATGAAAAATTTTTCATGAATTTTCAAAAATTTTTACCTTCCAGTTTCAAAATTAAACATCATTGTATGACTATTTTTTAATTGTAGTCTTAATCGACCTTCATTCGGTCGAGTTTCTTTTGGTTTAACAATTTTACAAGATGTTTGTGCCAATACTCTTCGAAAAAAAATATTAAATAAACAAACTGATTTTTATCAACTCACAAACTTGGTTAAACCGAGTGAGACAACAACTGAACCATATTCTTCTCGAAATTCAATTTTAATTTCACGAGTAACAAATGGAAGTCTATGATCAAGTCGCTAAAAAATATAATAATAAAAATAGATAACATTTATTCATTGAATCAATTTCTAGTTCTTATTTTGATTTACTTGTCGATCCCGTAAACATCGAATAATAAAATTTTTTTCACATTTTCCAATTACTTTCGATGCCATATTAAAATACTAAAATATAATATCAAATATATCGTTTTCTTTTTGTTTTCTTTGTTTTTTATTTTATAATTATAATAACAAAATAAAAGAAAAATAATTTATTTGATAAATAAAATCTTATCAAATGGTTCTATAAATAATCTTTCAAAATTTAATATACTAAATCGATCAACACTGTTACGTGCTTGTTCTTGTATTTGACGTCGTTCATTACATTTCATTTCAAGTATTTTTTCCATCATTGTCACATAGGAATCAATATCCGAAGCAAAAAATCCTGTTTTTCCTTCGTCAATAATATCCATTTGTGGACCACCGGATTTATGAGCAACTACAATTGCACCTGCAGCCATCATTTCTACAATACCTAAAGAGATAAAACAAAACAAAAAAATGAATGTACGGATATCTATCAGATTGAGAATTATTGAAATTTTTTTTTTTTTTTTGCAACTGAACCGATCATTTGACCGACAAATATTTGATCCATTTAATATATAACCTTAAGATACAGCTCAACGAACACATGGAATGTGAAATTCATATGACTCTTGAAATTCCTTATCTCAAATGGATTCACTCCTTTGTAAGAACTCTTATTCTCATTCTATGATTAGAATGTGTAATCTACAAATAATTTAGAGTTGAGATTTTAATGATGACTAATTCTGATTTCAAGCATAATCTATGCTTTACAGACCTAATCCAAAATGTTCATTTTGCATAGTATTTAAACCAATTAT